TTTTTTTGGCGACAGCATGTAAAAAAATCCTAAATTGCGACTGGGGAAAGGCTACTCGTATACCAGAACGCTCATTCGCCCTCATCTATGAATAACCCGTCCGTTTAGTCAATCATTCGTATGATAAAATTTTGTATGTAGATGACTAGGCTTCAAAGCATTTCCCTTGTCAAGCCAAAGTGATATATCTGCAAAAAGCGCTTTTCACTATTGTGTCCTTTTAGGTGTATGCTACCGCTGCTGCTGTTGCTGCTGCTTCGTCAGACGGTAATGGACAGTATCCGGGAATGGGGTATTATTTTACATTTTATCTTTGTTCCGCTTTCTTGGGAGAGTTTTCCAAGACATTTGTGCATTGTTTTCTTTTTTTCAGAATTGCGAGCAAAAAACAAGCTATGGTAATAGATGGAATGGAAGAATCAAATGTATTGTACATGATTGACAGTAGCAGTAAGGTAGGTCCTTCTGAAAAAATCGCCTCGCCCCTAAGTACGAACTCTACAGTCCAAACAAGACCATTTTGCTGAACCAGTACCATATGCAGGGCGGGAAGTTGTTTAAATGGGACAGGTGGTAGTGCAGGATCGAAGAGACGGTGCGTATTGGCTGACAAAACAAGGCGCTGATTAACACAGAATGGAATTTGTTTCATCATTGGCTGTTCGAGCCGGACGGTTGTTTCACTAACGATTGTTCATGCAGTCCAAACTTTTCTCGAATTGAGAAGCGTGATCTTTTGATTAAAACTCTTAAAGAGTGCACCTGGCAATAGAAAAATGGAGCAGGAATATGTTCGTAGATATTAACGATACCAAAGCTGTTTGAATAGTCAGCGTGCCCTTTCGGATACCACTCAGCAAGATGAGCATAATCCCCTCCCATTGAATTCTGCTGTTGACTGCCTGCTGCTCGTCGAACTGTTTATTGGCCATAAATGAACTCTTCAGGCACTGTAATCGGCAAAAAGGAAACTGATGTGATGCTCCTTTGCACGTCCCACCAACTGATTTAAAGCAGAAACTTAGTCCGTTACATAGCGTTTGATCCATAGAATTCACGAGAAAATAACGGGCTGTAGATTTATCCTTGTTAGGGGTGTGCGAATTAACACGCTCTAGACTTTCGCAGAGACTAGATATTCTACGACCTACGTTCACTTAATTACATATCAAATGATGTCATATGGCGACTTGTATTTCAGCTTGCCCGAAAGTTTACGCCATGGATACGGCGGTTTTATAATGCGTTGTTGGTTGGCGATGCCGATGAATTTTTATCAAAATTTTCTAGCATTTCGCGAGTCTTAAAAAAAAGTGCAGGTCGCATGCGGTACGAACACATGTCTAAGGATCAGTTCGCGCAGCACGTAATGAATGTAAGTGCAGTGATATGAGTGGCATAATCATTTATTTTTTTTTTTTTTTTTTTTCACGATTGCTGCTTGAATTTGCGACAGTGGTAGTTTGAGCTAAATTTTTCTTTTTTGAAATGGCATTGTTACAACGAGCATTTATGTTGTCATTTAAGAACGAGTCTTTATCTTATTCCTCAGAATGACTTGTTTTGCTAGTTGGTGGTTGGTGTGACATTTTCAGGGCATAATATGTGCATTCTTTGATAGAGCAGAAAATACATCAATTCTTCATCATTTGGCGGTTACAAGGAACAGCAAC